TTGTCCTTTCCCATTTTCATTGTTATTTCTGTGTATAATGTTTTCTTGACTTTGTTTATATTGCTTGCACTCAATGAAAATATTTTCATGCTTCTCTGTTATTTCTTATAATACAATAATATTTCTTTACATTAAGTAATTAATTAATGTTTACAGATGAATATGTGTGTGCACACACAAATAGACAAATAAATAAATGGCTAGACAAAGAAATAAATGCTACAAAGTGATTTTGGAAGGAAATGTTTCTGGTAGAAGGTGATATTGAATGTGGAAGAAAATTCAAGATTCTAAGAGACAGAGGCTGATGGTGGTAGGAAAGTCATTGAATCTGAATTGTTCTAGGCCTCACTTTCCTCAACTGTTCAACTAAAATATTGGACTAGATGACCTCTGAGGTCTGCAGTTCTAAATATATGATCCTGCATGATCTGTGTAATTGTGGATTACTTATCCTTTTCCTTTTTGAGCTTTCTTCCTTTCCTTTAGCTTTTTACCCCCTGGGCTCTTTTTTCTATTCTTTATTTCTCTTGTCCTTTTCCCTTTCTTCCTTTGCTCTTCCGGTTTCCTACCAGAATCGACTTCTGTTGACTGTAATAGAAAGACATCACCAGGCTCAGAAGCAATTAGTCACTTGAGAAGGAAAGAAGATATTAAGTGACCTCATTTAGAAATAAAACAAACACTCCCTCACCCTTCTCCTCCCTACCATTTCCACCTCCCACCATGCTCACTTTCCCCTTTAAATATTAATCTTATCACACTGGTGCCCTGCTAATGTAACTGGCTTGGCACTCTGTAGAGGGAAATGAAGGTGCTGTACCAGGTAAGAGACTTTTAGTCATCTTTTCCTTCTCTGTTACTTTTTGCTCTACAAGTTCTAGACTTCCAGATTGCCCAGAGCTTAGCATCCTCTGGGTCAATAGATTCCTGGGCCTGTGAAAAGTCCCATTTTTCACCTTAGGCCTTGTCAAGCCTTAGGCCAAACTGTAAATTGATGTGATGACAGTCAGAGGGTAGAAGCCTACTAGAGCTGAGAGAAAAGGTCAGTTTCTTCCTCACCTCGAAAGGCTGCTGAACAGCTGAGGTTCAGCGGCTAAGATTGGAGGCCCATAATGTCATAGTGCTTCAGAGTAGTGGAAAGGAGATGTGTGTGTGAATCACAGGCCAGTGAACAAAACTCAGAGCTACCTAATTTAACTTAGCTTAGTCCTGTCCAGAATCAACACAGTGTATGTTCACAAATGTTTCAATTTGGGCAGGGAGGGGCTTGAGGGACTTGATTGCTAAGAAACAGCTGAGTGTTTAAAGATGCATTTACTCAATAACGTGCTACATAGAATTTTGTCACAGTTCTATTTTCAAGTATGTTGATTTTTTTAAAAAAGTATATTTCATTAGGTAAGGCTCTGTTGATCATAATAGACCCTATCGTAGAGCCACAAAAGTGTCTTAGGGACCTTCAAGGCTATAAATATACTTTATTTAAGTTATGACTATCTCTAAACTTTAGTTTCTTAACCTAAAACTGTGAACTTAAATATTGTTTTGACAACAGTACTTAATATAATTGGTTTCCTTTGTAGTCCTTCATTTTATTTTATTCATTTAAAATATTAATCTAAGAAAGTGTTTATAGGTTTCACCAGATTACCAAAGGGATCTATGAACCACAGAGGGTTAAGTATCTCTGGTCTAAGGGAATAAAAAAGTCTAAGTGTCAACAATGAGAACATAAAGTCCTGTGTATTTATAGCTTTATGTGTGATATGGTGGAAAGAGCATTGGATTCAGATTCTTGAGGTTACAAACAACTTCCTAATAATTTGAGTTGTCCAAAAATGAATGGTCTCAGGAGGAAGATTGTGGGTTCTCCTTCAGTAGAAAGAAGCATTGAGGAAAATGTCACCATGTCTTGGTTTCAAATTCCTAGAAAGATGTAATTTGTAAGGTTCAGCAGATACTACCTAGGAAGGTTTGACTGTATCCATGTAAATCTCATACTTTGTTTTTAAATGAATTTTAATGATGTCTTTCATTGTCTTTTAATCACCCAAATTTTTATGTTAGCCCCACACCAGCTTGAGAAGCATCCCATGTACTTTGTAATTTAAAAAAAATGAAAAAGATGAAAAAAATAGCAAATCTATTAAATACATGTGAGAATTAATGCAGCATTTCACATCTGTGGCCTTTCAGCTCTGCAAAGGGGACAGGAAAGTTTTTTCATATCTATTTTTTGGAGTCAGGCTTATTTTTTGTAATTTTGTGATATTAACTTTCGATTACTTGGTGTTTGTCCTTTCCCATTTATATTGTTATTGCTATGTATAATGTTTTCTTGACTTTTCTTATATTGCTTGCCCTCAATAAAAATATTTTCATGCTTCTCTGTTATTTCTTATAGTACAATAACATTTCTTACATTAATTAGTAACATGATTTGTTGAGTCATTTCCCAGTAAATGGGCATCTATAATATTTCCAATACTTTGCTATCACAAAAAAGCTGAAATAAGTATTTTGGAGCATGTAGGGATTTTCTTCTTCTCAATGTCTTCTTTGGAGTATAAACCTAGTAATGTAATCTCTGAGTCAAAGAGTATGAAAATGTTAGTCACTTTATTTATATAATTCCAAATTGCTTTCCAAGATGGTTATACTGATTCATGGACCATAATGTACTAGTGGGCCTAACTTCCCAGCATTGATTATTCCCATTTTTGTCACCATTTCCAATTTTCAGGATGTGAATGGAAATCTCAGTGTCAGTTTAATGCGAAATTCTCCCATTATTGATGATTTGGTTCATTCTTTCACATGTATGATAATGGTTTGTAATTCTTTTGAATACTTTGTCCAATTTCTTTGACCACCTATCTTTTGGGAGATGGCTTTTGGTTTTATATACACACATATATGTATACACACACACACACACACACACACACACACACTACATTTACCACCCAAGCTGCAAGAGGTCTAGGAACTCTTTCTTTTCTCATTAAAAAAAAAAAAGCAGATCTCTAAAATAAGACGATGCATCTACTTAGAATGTACTGTGGACTGTAGTAAGTTAGTCTAAACCTAACCTTTACTAGATTTCTTTTCAGATTTTCCTCATTTTAAATCAAATAAGGAGTTCTTCTCCAATTAATTTGTTTTCTCATTTATTGAACATTGAATTATTGATTCCCATTGTTTCTGATTCTCCCCCTATTACCTCTAAAAGAAACAAAACACCTAACCAGTCAATGCTAGGTTGTCATCATCATAAGCAATGGACAGCACATCAAAATGGCTAGTTTTCAGATGATTATAGAATCACAGAATTTCAATGTTGGAGGGAACTTTAGATGAGATTTAGCCCAATCCACCTACAAACAAAAATAGTATCTGCAACATACCCAATAAGTGGCCCCAGGGTTTCCCTTGAAGATGAAAGGGTACCAACACATCCAGAGCCATACCAGTCTACATTAGGCTAGTTCTAAGCATGCAACATACACTGGTATAGTGTAGGCCCTCAATGTTATGTCATATGAGTATTAAATGGAAGAGCTAGAGATCATGTAGCAATCAGCATGTAGCTGATAGACTTGTAATAAAATGTAATTAATGTCTTCAAAATTTTTAAGGGCTGTAATATGGGGGTAAGATTAAACCTTTTCTGATATGTGTGGCCCCAAAGGACAGAAGCTGGAGAAAAAAGGTTGAAATGGTAAAGAAACAAATTTGATCTCCATGTGAAGAGTTCAGATCCTCTGTCTTTAAGCCCATTCATTTCCCACTATGCTGCTTCAATGACATCATCTGGGATTTGTCTCCAACCAATAAGTCAACACAAGCTATCCACTTGTATGTAGAACTGGGTGCAGAGGGCAGACAACTATAATATAATTTTTCTCCTAATGGCTCATTTCCTCCAATGTGTTTTATTTTAACTCACCTGCATATTTAATCCTTATACTTGTTTGGATGACAAACTTATTCCTAGCCACTCTTATCTTCTTTTATTCATTCAGGACTTCAGTCTCAGACTTTATATTCATGCTCCAACCCTTTCTGTGTTTTGTAACTGTGTTCTGCCTTACAATAGTGCTTAATGCTGCTAGGGCTGAGAATCTAGTTATCACCCCCCTTCCCCAACCAGATCAGAAGGATAACCAATATTTGCACAAGAGTTAGAGTAGGGGGTCAGAGTATGATAAATGATGAACAAAAAAAATCACTGAATGAAATGAAATTTCCTGTTATTGACTGGTTTAATTCCTTTCACCTGTTCTCTTCCCACTTCTGATCACAGCTAAGAAGGCAGATATTAATTTGAATATTTTATATTATTATGACAATTGCCATTATTTATTTATTTATGCATATACATGAATATATTACATATGTAATATTATAGATAATATGCTGGCTGTGATGTACATATTCTATAACATATTTATAATTTTAAATATATTCTGTGTAACTTTATGTATATATCTATATATCCTCTCATTTTTCTGGAAGTAGAAAGTCCCATGATAGTTGACCAAAATGTTCTTTCTTTCCTCCAGGAGCTAAATGAGCTGAAAAGGACCCAGTAAGTCATTGAATCCAACCCTCCTCATTTTACATGTGAGGAAAACTAAGGTTCAGAGAGATTAACTAAGTTGCTCACCATCATACAGCTATTAGATTTTTAAAACAGGATTCAAGGCAGGGGGGTTATAAGGCTCAAATGACATAATGGATATAAAGCACTTTGCCAACTTCAAAGTGCACTACATAAATGCCAGTTCCTCGCCTTCTCCTCCTCCTTGTTCTCGTTCTCATTCTAATTCTCCTCTCTCTTGTTTTTCTTCTTCTTCTTCTTCTTCTTCTTCTTCTTCTTCTTCTTCTTCTTCTTCTTCTTCTTCTTCTTCTTCTTCTTCTTCTTCTTCTTCTTCTTCTTCTTCTTCTTCTTCTCCTCCTCCTTCTCCTCCTCCTCCTTCCTCCTTCCTTCTCCTCCCCGTCTTCTTCCTCCTCTTCTCCTCAGATGTATACTGTTAAATGTTTAACAAGATGAGGGGAGGGGACAGATACCCTTAAGTTCAATCTGAATTAGTAATACTTTATTAAGTCTAGGCTATAAGAAAAAAACCCAATAGATCAAGTCCTGATTTGCAGCAATTTTTGACATGTAAATGCTCACATTGAAAAGTTAATCATAGGTTCTGACAAGGTGGTTAGAGCTGTTGCAGGGTTACAGTACATCCCTGGATAAAATTTAGAACTTCCTGACTGCAAACTTAGGACTTTATTCATTAAAATATGCTACCTCTCAAACTCTATACTTCTTTGCCTCAAAAGCAAAATTCCTAGTTATTATTATTACAATTGCATTTTTATTTCTAATAGTAAAAGTTTGAGGGAAAATCCACTTCATGATTTCATAAAGTATGGGTAATACCCAGTGTGAAAACTTTCTATCAATGTTGGCTAACAATTTGTTTTCCATTTATAATCTTAATATATGATCAGTTGCCTTGGGCACTGAGAGGTTTGTGATTTGCCCAGGACCACACTGCCAATAAATGTCAGAGGCAGAACTTCAACCCAAATCTTCTAACTTCGTAGCTGGCCCGTTAGCCTCTATGCCATGTTGTCTCTCACATTGTTGTTGTTGTTCATCCTTTGATCTCAAAGAGGACCAATGACATTAGGAGGGTGATGCCATGACTTGCAAGTGACTTGGATTTAAGAGGCAGAGCTATGCAGAATCATCAGTCTCACCCCTCCAGAGTCATCTGAGTCCAGTGGCAAAACAGATCAGGACAACTGGTGATGGCCCCAGAGGTTAACACCCATTCAGTGATTAAAGGCTAGGTAAGAATTGAAGATGGTCTTGTTTGCCTTCACAAAAGAAATAATCTGGGAGGGGAAGACCGTCAGAGTTTCTGGCCAGAACAGAAACAATTGCTGTTTATGCTCACTGTGAGCCATCAAAACCCAAACAATGAGCAAATGAAGCTTGGGCTAGGAACTTTTCTCACATAATATATACTAAATACATTTATGCTGCTTCATCAATCATTGAGAGAGATATTGTAATTCTTATTCATAAGTGGGGATACTTATCTATTGCTTCACCTTTAATGTAACAGTTCTATTTAGGAAAACAGGTTTTTTAAATGCCAACTGAGGGGAGATATGTTATCTCAGTAATATGGTTCCCGCCTTCATAGAGCTAAAAGGAAGTTGTGGTATATATGCAAATAACAAAAATACAAAGACACGAAAAGTTTTATATGAGGTCTCAGATGGGAAAGGAATTGTGGATCAAAGAAAAGTTCCTGGAGGACATTCTAATAATAAGGTTCAATGAGCAGTTATAGAAGTGGGAAGACTTAAAATACAAAAGGAAAAATGCAGTGATCTGGTTTGGCTAAAACAGAAAGTAAATGGAAGTTACATTCCTTCTAACATTAAATAGCACTGTAGAGTTTTATGAAACACACAACTCTTGTTTAATTGGATCCTCATAACTGTCCTGTGGAGATTTTAGGATTTATTTGACCAGGAACTTGTGAAAGATACAAGGGAAACATGAATCGAAGCAAGATACAATTTTATTTCTAGAAACAGTCATAGTGTTATTGGAACTAGAGCTGAAAAGGGACCTTCAAGAACATGTTGTTCAATATCCTCATTTTACAGTGGGGGAAACTGAGGTTGAGAGATTAAACTACTTTTCCAAAGTCACACAAGTAGACGGTGTCAGAGTGACTTGAACCCAGGTGTTCTAACTCCAAATCGGGCACTCTATCCGTGATGCCATGCTGCTTCTGCCATACTCTACTCATTTGAAATGCAGAATGAGTTGAACTTTGCACATGCAAATCAAGTTAGCCAAAGTCTCTCTCTGGGCTTGGACTAATCCAAACGTCAATGAAACAATGGGGCACATGGAGGGGAAGGAGCAACCTGTGTATGAATGTTCACAGAAGAGGGAGTAGAGTGGTCTAGGAGTGAGAAAGACCTGGCAAAGAATCTGCCCGATGGCCTGACATCATAGAATGTGCTAGTCCTATATGAAGAAGCTATCTTCTGTGCAAGTTACAATATTAGGAAATTCCCCAAGGGTATAGCAAGGTAAAGTGTTTTGCTTGGATCTCACAGTTAATGTATATGTATATGTGGGCATGTGCATAGCTCTGTGTATGTGTGTACACATACATACATGTATACACAGACACATACATAAAATACTTATACACACATATATTGCGTGTGTGTGTGTGTGTGTGTGTGTGTGTGTGTGTGTGTGTGTGTAAGAGACAAGACTTGAACTGAGGTCTTTCTCAATCCTAGGCCAGCTTTATATACATCACACCACATGCTGAATTGTGATTATTATTATTCATATTCATGTTATTATGATGGACATAGTATGAAATGGAACATCCTAACTGTGCAAGACACTCCTGTAAAATGTTACCTTTTTCCTTAGCCCGATTTACACTTTGTAAAGAGTTGTTAACTTCAACAGCTGTCTGCTTTGGAAATAAATGATTGCAAATGGAACACTGCACACAGCAAGGTATCTGGGGTGATGAGAAAAGCACAGCTGGGAACTTTCAGCTGAGGCATTTTGTTGCTTTCTCCCTCTTGTTTTACTCCCATCTCATGAGAAACCAGGAAACAGACAATATTGCTAATGAACAGATGCCATGTAAAATTCAGTTGAATATCAATGGATTCTTTTTGGTGCTAGAAGGTTCTGTCTTTCACAAGGGGATAGATGTAATTAATATTACATTTTCCTGCAAACCTGTGAATGTAGCAAAGCAATGACTGTGTCTATTTCTGTGTCTCTCATTAATCAAGTCACCCTTAAACACCCTCACTTATACAGTCTGGACCCCTAATTCTAAATATTAAGACCTATGTGTATTCACTGCATAATCCCACACCCACAAGGCTCAGATAGCTATCTGATGCTTCAGTTGACTGTAGCAGCACTGTGATTTTGAGGATCAGTTGAAGAAATAACAACAGCTGTATTTCATGGAAGTCCAGGGTTGGGTTTTAATTGCTCCTAATCATTATTAGATGGCCCCATCCTTAGTTATAATTAAGTAAAGAAAAAAATACATGAGCCAAAGTGAATGGATGGGACTTCCTGGTCTAGCTGTCATTCAGGTTCCTACCACTTCTTTCTGTATGTGTGTTTATACCTGCAACAGTGTGTTTTCACTTAATTAAGCCCCTTGAGGACAGGGACTGATTTGTGTTGAAGTTTAGTGGCTTAGGGGTGTGGGGACCCCAAAATCATGACACACTGCTTCTGCCCAAATGAATTCAACCCAAGCCTTCTTTCAGACAAAGCCAAGATTTATTGGAACATTCATCATATTGGCCAGATTCTTAAGGAGTCTGAACATTAGTGAGCTATTGGCTAGATTTTAAGAATCTGAGCACCTTAACGGGGACAAGATGACCTTATATATAGAAAAACTGTGGGAGAGATCTAGGAATGGCCAAGTAGTCTGCTGGGACTGTGAGATAATAGAACTCCAGGGACCTGCATCCATTGGCCAAGGAAGAATGGAGCCTAGCTAGGATTAAGGGTAGGGCCATAGGAAGGTAAAACAATGGAGGGCTAGGATAACTGAGAATTGGGAGATTGGGCATAGCCACAATGAAAGGCCAGTTGATGGGATTATAGCTTCAGGGGAAGGTCAGAGCCTCTTTGATCAAGTGGGAGAATTCAAGGAGAATCCTTTAGACAAATGGGACCCAAATTCTTTTGGGATAACGGGCAAAGGTCTTGTATTTGCATCCCTAGCACAGTGCCTAGAATATTGTAGGAATGTATCCTTATATTGGGACTAGATGACACAGTGGATAGAGTGTCCAGCCTTGAGTCAGGAAGACTCATCTTTGTGTAGTTCAAATCTGGCCTCATACACTTACTAGCTGTATGACTCTGGGCAAACCTAACTTTGTTTGCCTCAGCTTCCTCATCTATAAAATGATCTGGAGAAGGAAAGGACAAACTACTCCATTATCTTTGCCAAGAAAACCCGAAAGGGGTCACAAAGAATTGGACACAATTGAACAACAGCATTCTTATATTGGTCCAATACCTGGGCGTGTAGCTGAAGGTTTTCTTCTCAGCCTGAAAGAAGACTGAACCATAGTGAGATCTGGGTGGAAGGAGGGAGTTTCGGGGGTCTGGATGCACAACTACAGCTGTAAGAGCAGGGACAGCTGGAACAGCACATGGATTTCATTATACCTAGTAAGTGGCCATAAGCATGAACAGTTTTATGTAACTTTGCTTTCTGATTCTCATATGCAAGAATCTGCTTGTAAAGATCCTTCTTTGGCTGTGCCCACCCCAAGAAGCTCCTGAGACCTGGAAAAGTTCTTCATGTCTCATTTTGTCTGGGAAACTGCATTCTTAAGAATTTTACTGTTCTTTTGAAATGTTTAATTTTTGTACTTTAATAGTCTTTAAATAAAGGTAAGATAATTTTAAGTGAATTTTGAGTGTCTTGCTAAGCAGAATGTGGAAAAGGGTGGGGAGGATTCAGTACATATTTGACTGTGAAGATTGATCAGTTGGGAAGAGTTTCAAACTGGCCCTGAGAGATCTCTTAGGGGCTCACAGCTTCCTATTGTTTTTTTAATTAATAATTGCCAATTAATAAGATTTCTATAAAAGCAAGGAAAAAGCAATTGACTTACAGCATCATGGGCTCCTTGTCTTATCTCTAGAGCAGATTTTTAAAATTCTGAAAATTATATTTCAGTGTAATTGATTTTCTTTATAATCCTGTGTATTTTTTATGCATTTAAAAACATTATTCTGAGAAGGGGATCATAGGTTTCACTATCCTGCCAAACAGATCCGGGACTCAAAAAAGAAAAAAAAAAAGATTAAGAATCTCTAGCCGACTAGATTGCTTTCACCTCTGGTACCTGAGGTAAGAACTTCTACCTTTCCTCCTACATAAAAAAGAGATGGGAAGGGAGAAGAAAGAGGGGAGAGGGGCACAGCAAGAAGGGAAGACTTCATTCAAATCCAAGCCTAAGGCTGAAGAGGTGTGTAGTCTGACAGGTTAAGCTCACCTTTTCCTATTAAAAGTGGTAAACTCTTCAAACTGCCCTGCACTGGTTATATGAGCTTAATAGATAGTTGTTGAATTATTGAAAGAATAAAATCAAAAGCAGGGTTTTAAGCCTATTCACAAATCTTCAGCGCTTTTGACAAGTATTTTGCAGCTCTGCAGAAGAGTGGAGAATTGGGGGAAATTATATTTAATGCTACAGCAACAAGCATTTCAGACTTTGTTCTCTTCCTTAGTGATCCTTTATTGTCTATAGTGGCTGGAGAGACAAATTAGCCACTTAATCTTCACTTTTAACTTGATGTTAAAGGAAAATGAAATGTAATATATTCTGAATGGCTAAATTGGGAAGAGGGGAAATTAGGGGAACAAATGATATAATAGATATTTGCTGCTTCTTCCATTTTAGGTTTGGGCCAGGTGATGACAATGTCAAGGGTATTTTTGAACAGAGAGGCCCCAAAGTTTGCCACTGTTCAGTAGTACTTAAGGCACAATGAAGGTCCTCTTAGGCCCCATGTGTTTACCCCAATCTAATTTATATTTTGGAAAATACTTATGCAAAACCAGGCTGAAAATTCTCTTGGTTGGGCCCTAACTCCTAAAGTAGTTTCCAACATTCTCAGCTAATTAGAAAGAGAATATAACCATTTTCATGATAAGAGTAAGAAACTTGGAGCTACGTATTATATACAGAAAAATTACAGTCAAGGCTATGCTGGAGGCAGATTCAATGTGCATGAGATGATTGTTAAATTTTCTGTGAAAGGGTGTTATTTGGTTTTTTTTTTTGGGGGGGGGATAATGGTTGTAAACACTTACCAGCACTTTCTGGGTTATAGTCTATCCCGGTCTACCTCCAACCAAGGTGGCCTGGAAACTACCCTGAGTCCACCAGTCTTAGAGGAATTCAACACATTTTGCAGATGCTTCTACATGCCTTGAGCAAGTATGTACCTTCTATATGTGCCCTTGGGCAAGTGTCTTCATCTTTTTGAGTCTCATTACCCTAGTTGCAAAATAGAGTTAGATTAGATATTCTCTTTAATCTGTGATCCCATGATTCTTAGGTACTTTCTATCCTGATTTAGACATGACTATGGTGGTCCAGCAGCTCCATAATAATCCTAATCTGTTTGTGATCTTCCCTGGATTTCATACCCAGAATGCCCTGAAATTCTTTGTGCCCCAGCATGGGTTGGCTCCTTTCGACTATTCTTTTTCTTGAATTTCATTTAATCCTTTCTATAATTTCCCTTATCTTCCATCTCCTCACTCTTCTATTTTGATTTCTTTCATTCCACATCCATGCCTACATAAAATAGGCCCATTATTTCTGCCCCAACTCTTATTTTGGTTCTTCCCATCTTTGGGATGATTTTATTCCTAATATTGATTTAAAATAACAAACTTTCTGTTATGTCAAGATCAGAATTTTTTGCTATATCTAAAGGCAGCTAGGTGGCAGTGGGTCTGGAGTCAAGAAGACCTGAGTTCAAATGTGACCTCAAATACTAGCTGTGTGATCCTGGACAAGTCACTTACTAGCTATTTGCCTCAGTTTCCTCATCTGTAAAAATAAGGATAATAATAGCATCTACCTCCTAGAGTTACTGTGAGGATAATTATAAAGCACTTAGCACAATGCCAGGCACATGGTGAGTGCTGCATAAACTTTTTATTTTTATTTTTTAGGCAATGGGGTTAAGTGACTTGCCCAGGGTCGTGCAGCTAGTGAGTGTTATGTGTATGAGGCTGGATTTGAATTCAGGTCCTCCTGACTCCAGGGCTGGTGCTCTATCCATTGCACCACCTAGCTGCCCAAGAAGTTTTTTTTCAACACAATAAATACCCTTTAGGGTTGGAGAAGTTAAGAAAAAACTCTTTCTATTTTTGAGTGGGATTAAACTTTATTTTTGGTTGTTAAATTGGAACAGTTCTGCTTTATCAAGGAAGCAGTCATTTTGTGCTTTTGCTTTTGAATAGAACATACAAAGGAATTGATTTTGGTAAATAATAATGGTCATTTTCAAAAAAGGGACTACTATTGAATTTTCATATGGTAAAGTCCTTGAGAATAATAAAAATAATTAACATTTATATATAGTGCTTTAAAGTTTGAAAAGTACTTGAGAAGAATTCTTAATGCATGTTCTTTAAAAGTTTTATTTTGAGAGAAGCATGTGGTAGTTGAGTATGGCTTTTAGAAGAAACGTATTCAAATAGAAGGGGAAGGGGATAAGAGAAGGGGAGGGAGATAGAAGAGAGGACAGAGTAGGGGAAGGGATATTCAGAATGCATGACATCTTGGGGTGGGGGGAGGGGGGAGATGGGGTGAAAATTTGGAACTCAAAAACTTGTGGAAGGGAATGTTGAAAACTAAAAATAAATAAATTTATATTAAAAAAAATAAGAAGAAACGTATTCAGGGGCAGCTAGGTAGTACAGTGGATAGAGCACAAACCCTGGAATCAGGAGGACCTGAGTTCAAATCTGCCTTCAGACACTTAACACTGATTAGCTGTGTGACCCTGGGCAAGTCACTTAACCCCAATTGCCTAAGTATATAAAAATAAGAAATGTATTCAAATATTTCATGAGGCTGTGTCTACATATATAATCTCACCTGCAAACAAAATTAGATTAATTCTCAAAGCTGATTAGTTTAAAACAACCAAGTGAATTAAGTAAAAAAAAAATTACATGCTAGCCAGCTGTTTTCTAAGTAATCACTTGTGAGGACAAATTCAATTGTGATTTTTTTTCTTTTATCCCTACCAGACTTGGGGGTTTAGATGACCTTAACTATAATGTGGAAACGAATCAGTATAGTCTGTTTGGGGTGTCAAGTTTGGAAGGGATGCTGATAAGCAGAAGAATATTCTAGGTGATGAACAGTCTCGTTTCTTTTTCACTTGAAAATTAGTCATACCTTACCCATCCCAGAAGAGTGAAACAGACAGAGTATGACAGCTGTCTCTGAGTATTTAAATGCCAGTCATGAGGAAAAGGTATTAGATTTGTTATGTTTGGGCCAGAAGACAGAGCCAGTAGCAACGGGAAGAGGTCTGAAAGAGGTAAATCTATGCTTGATACCAAGAAAAAATTCTCAACATGTATGTTTTCTCCCCATCATACTATAAGCACCTTGAGAGCAAATGGCATTGTTTTTATCTTTCTTTGTAACATCAGATCTGAGCATGACACTTAGCACCTAGTAGGTACTTAATACATTCTTGTTGACTTGACTCAGGAGGTCCTGAGTGGATGAAGACCCTCTACTAGATGTCTTTAAGTAGAGTCTGGATGACCATTTATTGGGCTTGCTGTGGTGGTGATTCATTTTAGGTATGAGTTGAATTGGACAGCAGCTGAGGATACTTTGAATCCTGTAGTTCTATGATGTTGTGATTCAACTGAATGCCCTTATCTCAGCTCCAATCATCCATTTTATGGATATAACACTATAACTCAGGATCAACTGATTTGTTAAAGGATTGAGCTGTATCCAAGATGGACATAACAGGTGTGCACATCATGGGCCAAGATTCAATTACCTGGTTGAGTCTGGAAACTTGGTGCCTATCATTCTTTCACTTTGTTTGGCTCCAGCTACTATTTACTCTCAATTTTCCACAGATCAGATGACCACATGAATGATGGCTGAGCTACAGTTACGCTGCATGTTGTAACTTGGAGAGCCTAAAAAGAGTAAGAGAAACTCTTTTGATGTCAACCTCCAATATAAAGAATGTCATCCTTAATGTATCTCATTACTGAGAAGGAAATAAATATGCCAGAGTAAAGAAGTCTTTGTATCCATGTCCACTTACGGATAATTATCTTTCAAGTTCATTCAGCAACAGCTCCAAACAATAAGCAAATATTTATGTAACTAACAATTACATAGCATTTTATTGCTAAACTGTATTAGTTTATATGTAAATACTTGAAAGAACTATAACATCACTAGTGTGATTAATAGCCTCCACTGAGAAAGACCAAAATCTCTGTATGATCTACAAAGTGGCTAAAGCCACAAAATTCACCATAGCTTACCTGGTGGTAATTCTTTCCAAACATGTTTTGTTTTTTTAGGCAATTGGGGTTAAGTGACTTGCCCAGGGTCACACAGCTAGTAAGTTTGGTCAAGTGTCTGGTCTGAGGCCGAATTTGAAGTCAGGTCTTCCTGACTTCAGGGCCGGTGCTCTATCCACTATGCCACCTAGCTGCCCTAATCTTTCCAAATTTAACAAGACTAGATCTTGGGAAATAGATATATAATCTGTCATTAAGCACATACTTAGAGCCTTTCTAAGTTCTAGTAGCCCCTGCCAGAGATTATTATGAGCATAGTCAGTATCACCTATACACAATAAAATCTCATTGCAGAAGGACATTAGTGAAAGAGTGCTATGTGTCTCTGTGTTTATATATTATCAATAATTCAGTAATCATATATATTATATGATGTAATATGAATTTTTATCACTGCATAGCACGTTATGAGGTGATTATTGCTATTCTCATTTGAACTATAAATCAGGCCTCCAAGAACAAGACTGGTTATGTTCCCTCAAGGCTCTAAGGTCTTTGTAATGCTATGTAGCTCATGAGCACCCACAAGGGCGTTTGTCCACCATGACTAGAATTGATATGAATTATCCAAATGGACTTAGCTTTTTTTTTAAAAAAAATGAGCATTTATTGAGGTGGTAGAAATGGTATTTGTTCCATCTTTCCAAAAGCCCATGACATATTCTCTGTTGTATGTACAGATTCTAGGGGGAAAGCCTAGAAAGTTCATGTGGCAAAGAAATAATTCACAATTCCTGATTTTGGAAGTTCTCAAGATGTTCCCCTTAGGTATGATGAAACTTTTCTGCTGGGGTCTTCATAGAGCCTTGAATCTGCATCTAGCCTAACTCTGTCATCTGTTCCATCAGAGTTGCTAAGGTGCTAAGGGGAAAATGGGAAGTCCCAAATCCTCTAGACCTATGAAAGCTGAGAAGGTCCTCCTCTGATGAAGGAGGGAGGGAAGGGGACCAAGGTTCACTGCTCTACCTCTACCCCTCAAACAAGTAAATTTCAGTGCCAGAGTACTTTTCAATTCTCAGCTATTTACTCAACTCCCTCTGTTTCTAAACTGGTCTGTGATTTTATAGAAGATCCTTGGAAAATGGCCAAGTCTGTCATCTATTCTAAAAACATTTATCTGTCATTATTTAGTCACATCTAGTAGATTTCAAAAACAACTAAAATTTTAAAATATTTTCAGACATACTATAAAGTCTGATTGATTGACACATGCTTCCAACTTATTAACGTATCAGACCTTATTATTTTATTGTTTATCCGAAGTAAGATGGAATAATAGGTAGATCAGTTTGTGTGTGTATGTGTGTGTGTGTGTGTGTGTGTGTGTGTGTGTGTGCACATATGTAGATTTAGAGCTGGAAGGTACCTTAGAGCCATCTCTCTCTCTCCTATTTTTTCCAATAGAAAACAGACACTGAGAGATTAAAGTTGTTTGCCCATGGTCACCACTTTTAAAGTACTAATTAAGTCAGTCAATAATCAATTATTAAGTACTTACTATGTGCCAGTCACTGATAAACAGTAATGATGCAAAGGCAAGCAAAAACATGGTCCCCGTCCTTAAGGAGATCACATTCTAATGTTGGGCACAACCTGGAAATAACTGTTCATAGAAACTGTATGCAGTGCAAATGAAAAATAATCTCAGAGGGAAGGGCAGGAAGGATGGTACCAGATTTGAGTTAATTCTTAAAGGTAGCCAAGGAAGCTGAGGCAGAGAAGAGGCATGGGGAGTTGGTGAGGGCAGCCAGCACAAAGGCACAGAGGTAGACAATAGAGTGTTTTATGTGAGGAGTGGAAAGTAGGCCAGAGGAGCTAAATGGTAGAGTACTTGAATAGGAGTTAAGCACAAGAAGACTGGAGGTAGAGGAAAGTGCTAAAAAGAAGTCTTTATCTTTGATCCTGGAGGCAATAGGGAGCCAGTGGGGTATATTGAATGGTGGTATATGAAATATGGGCAGACCTTCACTTTAAGAAAATCAGTGCAGGAGCTGAGAAGAGAAAGGATTGGAAGAGTGAGACTTAAGGCAAGGTGACTAATTAGAAAGCTACAACAGCAGTCCAGGTGCACAGTGATGAGGCTCTTCAACAGGATGGTAGCGTGTGAGTAAAGAGAAGGGAGTATGTGTGTATGTTTGCATGTATTTGCATGTATACGCAGACACATACACACATATATGTGTATGCATGTATACACATATTTGTGTGTACATATGCATGCATGTATACACACACACATATACATATAAGTAGGTACACACAAATGACAAGATTTTCACAACAGACTGGGCATATAAAGTGAGTGCAAATGAGGGACTGATGATGTCATTGAAGTTGTGAGCCTGTATGATTTGGATGGTGATAGCCTCAACAGTAATAGCAAATTTGGGAAGAGAAGAGAGGTTTTAGGGAAAAATAATGAGTTCTCTTTTGGACATTGGAAATTTAAGGTGCTTACTGAGCATTTTCTTAAAGATGTCTACAAAATAATTGGTGACGTGGGGCTGGAGCTCTGTAGAGAACCTAAGGCTATATATATATATATATATATATATATATAATGTCTGGAAATCATGTGCATAGAGAGAAGATAACTGAACCCATAGAAATGGATGAGATCATCAGGTAAGATAGTATAGAAGGATAAAATAGGTGCATATGGGAAAAAACAAATAAATTAAGTTGACTTTAATATTGAGTACATGAAGTGGAGTAATGTGAAATATGTCTGAAGAAGTAGGCTGGAAATAGCTTTTGAAGGGCTTTAAATAACAGGTATCGAAGTTTTTATTTTATGCCTAAAGTTGACTTGGAGCCACAGAAGCTTCTTGAGTGCAAGTGGAGTGACCTGTATTTTAGGAACATTATCTTAGCTGATGGGTAAAGGATAAATTAGAGAGGAGGTAGACTAGAAGTGGGGTGACCAAATGACAGGTTAATGCAATAGTTCAGATAAGATGTGGCAATGAAAACTCAACCAGCTTGGTGGCTTTATGACTGGAGAGGAGAGGAGAAGACAGATGTGAGAGATCAATTACTCAGAAATTGATGTAGAGAAGGAAATCAGAGGAACTAGATTACTTACTAGTTCATGAAGGATTTGGACCAGAAGACCTCAGAGGTCTTTGATGACATCCAGTTCTAAAGCTATCACCCTATATCTCTCAATATAATAAAAAATAATGTATGTAACACATATGCATCTGACTCCTTTCAAATGACTACTTCTCTCTCCTTAATACTAATTAGCTACTCTAATCTGGATATCATTGCCTTCTTTACTGGGGAAGAGAAGTTACACAGTAGCTACTTTTAAAGGAAAAGATATGACTAACTGAAGCCAGGTAGTTTACAAGGGAAAAAAAATAGGACAGGGACTAAGGAATAAGAAATGAGCTAGTGAAAGAGTGGAATATGCACTTAAGAGACTGTGGGGCTTCTGGCCATATACGTTATGGAGTTTTCTCAGATCTCATTAACATTAAAGATATCATTTCAAATGAGATGATTAATAAAAACAAATCAATTCAGTTCTTTATTATATTTCTATCTTCCATAGAGAGGCCTCAGGGAATCCCAATATATGCCATTATGGATCTGGCTTAGTAAATTGGTCTGTTATCCTTTAAATCTCAATTTGGCTAATTGTTCCTTTTTTCTGGAATTTTACTGAATCAACCAGCTGGTTTGGCACTGCGTAGACCCTGCCTTAGGTAGTGAATTATTCATTTTAGTTCAGTTTATGCTTTTCTCACCAAACAGCTGAACTGTATCACCTCCTCATCCAAAACTGATGTAAAATTTATATTTAGAAGAACCAGTCTAATATCAATAGTTAACACAGTAAGTATCTGATTCCTCTTTTCCATCCTTTGCTAAATGGACTATTCTAAAAATTAATATATAACATTTTTCTTAACCTGAGAGAGCAAATTCAGATGCATCATTTTAGACCCCCTTGAAGATCTGAAGGGAATTGGTTTAAATGGTTTATGAGAAATTAAATGAAAAATGTTTTTTTCTAAAAATGATTTTTAAAATTAATCATTTGAGACCATAATTTCTGTCTTTAATGTCACTTTACTGTTACTCTAACGTACATAAAATAGATCAGTATGTTCTCTGATTAACTAATTTTTAGTGCAGTATTCATCATCATAAGTGAAAGGAGATGATAAATCAGGAAGTATATACTCCTATGGATTATGTATCATCATCACTCCTCAGCAGTGAAGAACAGGATTGGAATAGGCACTATATGGTACAAAGTATTCAAGGATCATTCAAAGCAGAGACACAAATTCAATTAACTACGCATTTACCAAGCCTCTTCTATGTGGAAGGCACTATGCTAGTCATTGAAGGTACCAAAACTAAAACATTTCTGCATTCAAAGAGTATATATTTTTTGAGGAGGAAAGGGAGAATATGTATTCAGATAAGTCAATTCCGTATAAACACATGCAGACACACACACACACACACACACACACACACACACACACACACACACACACACACACACACACACGTTTTAAGGTAGAAGCCCTAACAGGCCCTAGGGAATTAGGATAGACCTACTGTTAGAGGAGATGATACTTAAA